AACTTCTTTTTAATACTTTTCATTAAGTTTTAATGTGGCATATTAATTAAAAAATAATAATTTTTTCTTTACTTAAATTACATGAAATATCCATATGGTAAAAGTTAATAACATGATCAAATTTTTTTATTAATATAACCTTAAAATCATTTAATTATATAATTATTAATATAAATGTTTTAAAAGTTATTATTCTCCCCTTCCTCTGGTTGTTTTTTTCTTACCTTCGGGTTCATGCAAACCCAAGCACGAGGTTCATCCTGAAACCCAACTCTTGGGTTCATCGCAAACCCAAGCGCAGGGTTCATCTTGAACCTAGGTGTTGGGTTCATCGCGCTAGGGTTCGTCATGAACCCAGACGTTGGGTTCGTCTTGAACCCAGGCGCGAGGTTCATCGTGAACCCAGGCGTTGGATTCTTCTAACCCAAGCACGGGATTCGCAACGAACCCAGTTCCTGCGTTTGTCTTTGAATTGAAGATGAGGGATTTTCGGTTTAAGGAAAAAGAAGTCAGGGAAGAATACGATAAGGATTTTCAGTTTGTTTTTCTGATTGGATGAGGAAAAAAGTTAGTTAAGAAGATGGGGGAAGAAACAAATGTGCCTTGGCTGCTTGGTAATGGTGGGTGATGTTATAAATTGGTAAGGATTTTCGGTTTGTTTCTCTGATTGGATGAGGAAGAAGATAGTTAAGAAGACGGGGAAGAAACAGATGTGCCTAGGTTGCTTGGTAATGTTATAAATTGGAACCCTTATATGTTGGTTTTTTGGTAAATAAAAAGAAGTGTAAGGATAAAATGTGAATACCATGTCAATTTTATTAATCTTGAAGCGAGAAGCTCCTACGGAAGCACGAAATTGGTGGTTTCGAGATTGGCAAAGGAATGGGAAGAAGATGTGCTTCTAGGAAGCTATAGCACGTTTGAGAAACTAGCCCATTTAGTGCAGTTTGTGCTTTTAAAGCCAAAAAATTCTTTTCACAATTTGCACCAAACACGCTCTTAATTGCTTCCTAACTTGCCACGTGTTGCAATTTGGTTGTCCTGCACTGACACGTGGAAAGCACCACCCATATCCGCGATCTCTGTCCAAATATAAACTGTAAATGAGAAAATAGAACAATTTTGAAAACAGTACCGAAGACCGAAGCCATTAATTCTTCTTGATCTTAAGGGTCTAAATGAAGCTCTTCATTCCTTCTTCGACCACATTCTTAGCCTGCAGAAAATTCAGGAAGTCCCTGAAGCTACTTTCTCTGTATCCCTTAGGATGCTCTTCATCGACTAGCTCCCCGGCCGTCTCCATTTGTTCATCCAAGCCCAAGCTATGGAGGCTCGCAATGGACATCCTTGTCCTTTCTCCATTCAAAGTAGCCCTGTTAACCAGGCTCTTGTATATTCCATTGCTAAGTACCTCCGTATGATCACCAATATGTACCTAGACCAATTTAAAAAAGTTTTATTGGGTCCCTTGGGTAAATCAGTTTAAAATATACAAGCACAATATAATTTAATTTAAAATTATAAAAAATTAAGATATCTCGATCACTAAAATGTCAAAAACTGATTATCACCTAGCTATAGTATCTGTAAGGCACCGTGAAGCTCTGGGACGAGTCTCCATTTGCAATCGTGGGAATCCCCGATTTCGAGCCCGGGCGAGTTCTGGAGGAGGATGGTTAAGCTACTGTAATCCGAATGTGGGGGCAGGCCAAGCGCCAGGGATGGTTGTGGGCACGGTGGATGACAGTTCACCGTTATAACTTGCATTCCGTCCTCCATCTTTTGGCTTTGGTAATTCCGACCTAATCCGAGGCTCTCTGTTATAACCTTCATAAGTTCCAGCGCCAGTTTCCTGATTTCTGTAGAAAAATTTCCCATTTTTTCTCTGTATTGAGGTGGGTTCTTAGGCCAGGAATCAATCCAGGTATCCAAAGGATACGAATAATGCTTGAGGAATACCCTCCAAAATTGGACCTTATCAACCCCGTCCTTGAAGCTGCCACCGTATCTCACCGCCTTGAACACATCGTCAGACTTCAGCTGGAGCTTCAATTGTGCCGGTAAGTTAAAGAATCCCAACGCCGAAGCAAGTGCTCCGTCGAGTATTTCTTGGCAAATCCCATGATTCACTAAATCACTACCTAATAATTGGTTAGCAAAATATAGAATATATAAAAAGAAAGTATTTTTCCAAAAAACAGATTGGTTGAGTTCCAGAGGAGTTTCATGCAAAGCATTACAAATTAGAAAGCAAAATTACAACATTGCACTTAATTTCCCGGTCCAAAACCAAAAATCAGGGGCTTAATTTTCTGTAAGCGACCCAAACCAAAATGACAAAACTTAGGTTTTTTTTTTTCAATTAGTTACAATTTTTTTGTTTTGTTTTTACTATAAAAAATAAAATATTAATTACTAAAATTAATAAAGTACATAAAAAAATAAAAAGCTATAAATTTACAATTTTAAATTTTGTAAAGCACTTTCAAACAATACCTTGGCTGAATGAGAAGAAAACTCACCTGAAAGAAGCCACTTCGGTGAAATGCGTCGCCAATCTCCCTAATGATTACCGAACGTTCACCACCGTCCTGTCTCAATCTAGCCATATCAATAACGGGGACAAGAGTTGTCTCACGGGCCAAACTCGGATGATTGGGTGATGAAACTTTGTAACAACCCGGTACATAGTCCAACCCCTTCTCTTGTGCGATGTTGCCGGTGGTGAATGAGCTTGAACTCTGATCACCTGCCATTTTTGTTTTGAATAACCTGATTATATGATAAGAAAGAATGCACAATCCATTTATATAGGTATTAAACCCTCAACTCTAAGCAGTTAGACGTTACTGCGTAAGGTAGTAGGTGTCCTGAGTCTAGACTAGAAAATCCAAGGATATATAAATT